ATTGCAAGTTGTTAAGTCAGTAACACTTATTAGCATACGCACCAAGACAAATTCCTTGTCTGTCTAATCCCAGTGGTGGGATTCAAAATTGTTTACTACCGGTTCTGTGAGCGTGGTTGGTGGGCGTAGCCTGGTGGGCATGGCTATGTGGTCAGGTGACTGGGTGGGCGTGGCTGTTTGGTCATGTGACTGGGTGGGTGTGGCTATTTGATAATGTGACCGGGGTGGTGGTGGGTCAGACAGAAACTCACTTTCTGGAGCAGGGGGTTGGACTAGATGACCTCCGAGGTACCTTCCAGACCTGGATTGCTGTGCTGTTTCAAAGCATCCTCTGAAGCTGTGTCTAGTGCCAAGGCTTGTGTGCCTTCCTTCCTCTCCTTTTTTCCTCCCTCCCTCCTTCCTTTCCTCATTCTCTCTCTCTCTCTTTCTTTCATTCTTTCTTTCTTTCTCTTTTTTTCTTTCGCAGCACCCCACCCCCACGTGCTCCACTTTTGGCCTAGTGGGCCTCAGGGAAGCCTCCTGGGTGCTAAAAAAATGAGCATTTTGAAGGTAACCACAACACCGAGGGGGGAATCAGGTGTGCTGTGTGGTTCAGATTAGCTAGAAAGCAAGAAATCTGACAATTTCCTTCTCATCCAAGAAGACTCCGCCCTCATTTGCTTTCCCAGATAAATCTTTGCATCCTTTCTTTCCTAGAGCTTTAAACAGGACCAAATTAGCTTTCTAGCTAATCTAAATCGTGCGGCACAGCTGATAGTTGGAACAGCTGATCGTCGGAAATACTGGTTGGTCAAACTGGTAGCATTTTTTTACTACTGGTTCAGTTGAACTGGGCCAAACCGGTAGAATACCACCACTGGTCTAATCACATTTGGCCAATAAAGAATTCGTTCATTCATTCATTCACAGTTGTTTAATCAATCTGGCTTCCCCATTGACTTCATTTGTCTGAAGGTCACCAAAGGGGATCCTGTGACCCTGGGACACTGCAACCGTCATAGCTACAAGTCAGTGGCCAAGCACCTGAATTTTATTCACCTGACTATGGGGATGCTGCAATGGTCATCAGTGCGAAAAACGATCATACGGTCACTTTTTCAGCACTGTCGTAACTTTGAACAGTCACCGAAGGGTGCTTTTTCAAGAGGCAACTGGACATTCTTGGTTTTTCCTTGAAGACATTTTGCTTCTCATCCAAGAAGCTTCTTCAGTTCTTCATAACGTCTGCAGCTTCTTCAGAACTGTGTCTGTGCGGGTATCAGAGATGGTATTCAGCAGGTTCGGATCAGTTCTGGAGAACCGGTAGCGGAAATTTTGAGTAGTTTGGAGAACTGGCAAATACCACCTCTGACTGGCTCCGCCCCCATCTATTCTCCGCCTCCCAAGTCCCAGATGATTGGCTCAGTTCTTCTTTGGTTGCCCTGCACAGGAGAACAGAGCTGGAAAGCAGGCTAGTGGGGTGGGGAGGAAATGGGATTTTGCAGTATCCTTCCCCTGGAGTGGGGTGGGAATGGAGATTTTACAGTATATCCTTCCCCTACCACGCCCACCAAGCCATGCCCACCAAGCCATGCCCACCAAGCCACGCCCACAGAACCGGTAGTAAAAAAAACATTAATCCCACCACTGTTGGGTACGTGTGTCTGCATGTGCTTTCCTGTCTGCATAGATGCGGTTCTAAAAGTAAAATAATTGGTTAACAAAAGTGAAAATGAACTGAGTTTAAATGCTCCTTTCTAAAATTGCAGGCATGGAAAACTGTTTTGAACGTCTACCCACCACCACCACCACCAGCAAGTATGGAGCCTTCTTTCGAAAAGTCCATAGTAACTACGTTTTCCCCGAAGGAGACTTCCCCACCCACCCACTCAAAAATGTGGATTTGTGATGGATACCAGGTGCCCTGGCACATTGCCAGCATGCTTTTCTCATAACATCTAATAGCAGAGTGTCCACTGAGGGAAATTATATGTTACACTTGGCTTTCTTTCTTTCTTTTTTTTGGATAGTCACAGATCTCCTTGCTCTTCCTTTCTGCCAAGATAAGGGAGGGGAAAAAAAAGTGGAAAACGTTATCAAACTGTATCCCTTTGCCAAAAAGAGAAAAGAAATTTCTCTTCAGTCTGTTTCCAAGTCCTCAATCACAATAAATGGAATTTATTTAGGCGGCCTCCGAAGGAGGAGCCCACTGGAATGAGGAGCGCAATCATTTCAATGGTGTTGATTAAAACATTAGTACATCTTCAGCACAACAGATGGAGCCAGGCAGGACTGGTCCATTTCTTGTCTCACCAGCCAGAAAAAGAAAATTGTTCTATCGCCTGGGTCTAGTTTTTTTTCTTCAGGAACTCAAGGCAGCATATGTCTACGGATGTTCTCAGTCCTCCAGTCAGGGGTGGGATGCAAATATTTTTTACTACTGGTTCTATGGGCATGGCTAGGTGGGCATGGCCATGTGACTGGGTGGGCGTGGTTGTTTCTTCTTCTTCTTCTTCTTCTCCTTCTTCTTCTTCTTCTTCTTCTCCTCCTCCTCCTCCTCCTCCTCCTCCTCCTCCTCTTCTTCTTCTTCTTCCTCCTTCT